ACGTCGCTGCAGGGCCGCCTGCCTCCGAGGACGTCGCTGCAGGGCCGCCTGCCTCCGTGGACGTCGCTGCAGGGCCGCCTGCCTCCGTGGACGTCGCTGCAGGGCCGCCTGCCTCCGTGGACGTCGCTGCAGGGCCGCCTGCCTCCGTGGACGTCGCTGCAGGGCCGCCTGCCTCCGTGGATGTCGCAGCGTCCCAGCCTGCCTCCGTGGACGTCGCTGCAGGGCCGCCTGCCTCCGTGGATGTCGCAGCGTCCCAGCCTGCCTCCGTGGACGTCGCAGCAGGCCCGCCTGCCTCCGAGGACGTCGCTGCGGCCCAGCCTGCCGCCGAGGACGTCGCAGCAGGCCCGCCTGCCTCCGAGGACGTCACTGCGGCCCAGCCTGCCGCCGAGGACGTCGCAGCAGGCCCGCCTTCCGCCGAGGACGTCGCTGCGGCCCAGCCTGCTGCCGAGGACGTTGCTTCCGAGTTCCCTGACCTGCTGGTAGCCTCTACATCCCCAGACCTGCCCATGGCCTCAGCGTCACCAGTCCCAGTTCCTGCTCCCTGGGCCACTCCTGCTCCTGCACCCTGGGATGCCACAGTTTCTGCTCCTGCACCCTGGGCCACTCCTTTTCTCATTTCCTGTCCTGGTTCGGTGCCGGCCTCTCAGCATTATGCTCCGCCGCCAACCTCCCAGCGACCCCCTCCTATGCCAATCTTTCAGCGTCCAGTGACGGCCTTCCAGTGTCCTGCTTCAGTGCCGACTTTCCAGTTCCCTGCTCAGTCTGCCACCCAGTTCCTTCGCCTGCATGAACTTAATTCTGTGTTTTCCCCCAAGTCTCTAGTCCATAGTTTTGTTTTTGTCCCTGTAACCATGTATATATCTGTACCCGTCTCAATCAGTGTTCCTGTTTCTGTGTTTGGTCTTATTGTACCTGTTCCGGTCCATCTTTCTGTCCCTGTCCCAGTTACCATGTCTGTTCCTGTCCCCATGTCTATGTTAAGTCCATCTCCTGTTCTCTCTCCACTTTTGTCTTCAGTATCATCTCCTGTCTTGTCTCGTGTCCTGCCTCCTGCTGTCTCATGTGTCTCATCCTTTGTCTCATCTCCTGTCCAATCCCATGCTCAGCCCGCTGTCCAGTCTCCTGTCTGTTCCACTGTCCAGACTTCTCTCTTGTATCCAGTATCTCCGCTCCAGTCTCCTGTTCTCTCTCCACTTTGTCTTCAGTCTCGTCTCCTGTCCGGTCTACTATCCTGTCTCCTACCCAGTCCCTCCTCCTAACCGGCTCCCACTTTGGATGGCCTTTGTTTTTCGCGCCTCGGGAGCTGCGCGTTAGGAGGGGGGTTCTGTCACGGATTCTCCCTTTGTCCCTCTGAGTGTCTGTTTCTTCACTTCTGTTGTAGCCATGTGCCTTTTTGTTTTCTTTTACCATGTGCTTTTGTTGTTGTTCTGTGTCTCCTCCCTGGTCCTGCCCCCTTGTTATCTGTTCCACCTGTCTGTGCTCCACCCCTCATTAGTCCCAGGTGTTTCTTATTTTCCCTCAGTGTATTTATACCCCTGTGTTTGTTCAGTCTTCGTCTTGCATTGTGGATGTTACTCTGTGAATGTAATCTTGTCGCTTGTAGTTTGGTTTTGTTTTGTTTTCGTTATGGACTCTCATTTCAATAAAAACTCGCATTTGCATCCCGCCTCCATGCCTCAGACGTTACAGAGACACACTCACACACACAAATTTGAAAGATTTTTAAGACTTTAAATTATTCTTTTAAGAAACAGTAAAGTTATTAGTAAAACAGCAATAACAGTGAATAAAACAATCAGCACATCAGAGAGGAAAAACTTGAGCAATACTGGCTTCATCAATTAGTTGAATAAAGTGGCAAAGAAAGTATAGCAAAAGGAGAGAGAAATAATAATCAGTTTTCAGGCTTTGCATCAAGTCTCAATCTTTATCAAGCCTTATTATTCCCTCATTTCTTTTTGAGTGATATAAGTCAAGGAGCTTGGAAGATGCTGACCCAGGCCTTCATAAAAGGACAAATGTACAGACATGATCCTGGTCAACAACTGAACACATGTAAGCCAACATTTTAAATAGATTTTCAAAAGATAAAATTTTTGGCCAGCTGTTTTTCTGGGATTCATTCATTACGAAAACAGTACATTTTAAGCCATTGTTTCTGGAGCTTAGTTCTCATATATAGGCTGTATGGAAAGGAGTGTGAATGGTTAATTTTGAAATTTTAACAGTGTTTACATACTACATTTAAATGACTTTTAAAGGTATTTACATAAATACTTGATCAGCTGAGTGCTTTAATTAACCACATAGAGAATTAACTCATTTAAACTGTTCCAGGTTTATTCGGTACACTTACTGTTGGCCATTTTTATCAGAAACCCCTACCATATCAGTGCACTCTGTAGGTTTACAGTTAAAGACTGTAGTTTATCTATTGCGGAACAATTTATCAGGGCCCTTGTACCAATAGAAAGAGACCTCCATTGGAACACCACTGATCACATACACCAACCAGCCACTTCATTATGTACACTTCTTTGTATGTACATTCATTGGACCTCATTCACTAATAGAGTTTTTTTTTAACTTAGTTCTTGAGAAAGGTTCTAAGAAAAAGTCTATTCACGTCAGATTCATGAATTATTGGCACATTTGTACTCTTGTGTGTTTGTGTAGATTCTGTTCTTCACTAAGAACAAATCCCAAATAAGGAAACATTGCTGAATGTCAGAATCTTAGTGAAAACTGCCTAAGTGGGTTTTAAGAAGAAATTTCTTCTTAGGAACATTTGGTGACTGAGGCCCAGTGTTCTAATCAGCTCCACTGACCATGTAGGAGCACTTTATGGTTCTACAAATACAGATTGTAGTCCATCTGTTTCTCTGCATACTTTGGTAGCCCCCCATTTTTTAACATTTTGATTCCTGCAGAACAATAGCATGGATTAATAAATAATTTTAGTCAGAAGCAATGTATGATGTGCTTAAATTGCAGTTAATAAAGCATTTATATGCACAATAGTGATCCTATATCTTAACAAATATGAGTTTATATAATATCATTACATGCACCACACCCTAGTGCTTTGAGGACATTAATTAAACTAAAATAGCCCTACAGTACCTGCTGAGTGAGTTACTAGCTCACACTGGTACCAACATATGAACACTCGAAGGAGATTTTTATGTTCATGGGTTAAAATTTAAGCACTCTGTTCAAATGCGCTGTGGCTATTATCCGAGAAATTGTACAAAAAAAGGCAGTATATTAAGACTGCACTGTCACAGCTAAGTTTCTAAATAGCAATAGGCCGATGCTAGCTGGCTGATCAAATGCTACTACCAAGACTTGGAGTGAAAAAATGGACAACATATGCGCAAAAATGGGAAAAAATGTGTTAAAATCTACATATTACAAATAGTGTTGTACATAAATCAATGAAACCAAAACACTTAAATATGAGCCGTCACAGTTCCCCTCAGCCTCGCTGCTGAGCTCATCTTCTACAATCTGCGACTATCCTAGAATGCACAGCAGCATCTTTGTGTCTTCGCACCTGACATGACATCGCAGTGTTTTCCAATACAAAGATGAGATGACTTCACCAAGTAATCACAAACCTATGGCAGTTTTTTTTTTTGCAGAGATTGGCCTCTATTTTCATATAATAAAATAAATAAGTGAGAAGATATTGAGCCAAAAATAGGCTACTATCTCTCACCAGCTCTGCTTCAACAGTAAACATGTAGTTAGCATATATGTTGTGCTTACCATAAAATAATCACCAGTCACTAACATTTGTTTTTCTCAAATTAAATCCCAAATTAAAAGTATGCCTTGTAATTTCATAGCTACATCAGCTGGAATGACAAACTCACTTAACTGTTAAGATAGCTCCCAGGGATATCTCAAAAAAGGTTTACACTCTGATTTCAACACTCTTTACTGTATATGCTTTATGATAACTTCTACTCAATTCTGCTTGCTGAAAAGCATTTGGGCACAAAGCTGGTTTGTCCTCTATAAATAAATTTGACCTTCACAAAGGACATTCAATAATGTGTTACCGCAACAACATTTCCAAAACATCCCCGGAATGTTTAAGGCAAAACATTCTACGTTTGTTAACATATCACATTACAGGAATGTATATATATATATAAAAAAACATTCTGTCATCTCAGGCCTCAATAATATTCAAATGTTACAATGAGAATGTTCTTCCTTTGCTTTTTATGTTCTACCTTTGCTATTTAGTTAGTAACATAATCTGTGGTCCAAACATCTTCAAAACTTTCTCTGAATGTTGCGGTTAAAAGGTTATGTCTTAATTAACATTTAACCTTATGGGAACATTATTTGAAATGCTAAACATCCTGAAAACGTTCTTTGAACAGTACATTAAAATGTTTTCCTTAAAACTTTATTAGAACTTGTAGGTAATGTTAGCCAAAGTTGTGGGAATGTTGCCTGCTAGCCGGGAGAGCGCTTGCTTTCCTGTAAAACTGGTACATACTTTAGAAAATGAACTGGGTTTGAAAACAGCATGATGTTCTTCAGAGATGTTAGCTGTCAAAGTGTACTATCTGCATTTCATAAAAGGTGGTTTTAGTCAGTGGCCTAATTGCATTTCCTCAGTCAGCCAGTCTTTTCTTTTCTTTTCTTTTTCTTTTTGAACAATAAGTTTTGCCCCACCACTTTTGGAGGTGTCGCGCCACACCTTTGCGAACATTCATGTCTAAACCTTAGAAAAAAATGAGGTCCAACGTTTCACATTACACCTTAACATCACTACCTTCAGTGATATCTTGACATTGAGAGGGGTTTGGTAGAAAGGCAGCCTCAAGGGAAACCAGTGTGAACCAAATTTGACTGTAACATTCTACTTCTGTCGTTTCAATTCATATCTGTAATGTATACATTCTTCAACCGTATAGCGCCACACTTTGGTTAAAAAGCGTTACATTTTGGCGTACCCGGCTGGCGGAAGTGACGCGGGTAGGAGCTTTTGTCTGTTTGTTTTTCTCCGAGGTTTCAGTCTCCACCTTGTTGACCAACGTTAGCGCAACAAATCACATTTTATTATCGCATCATCCCAAAGGTACTCGACCCAATTCTTTTTTTGTCGTTTTTTTTACAGCGATTTCGTGTGCTATGGCACGCTCTCGTAGCTGTCTTGCTAACCGTAGCCAGGTGGTGCACACAGCCTGGCAGTGTTTATTTTTAGCAACAGTCGCGACTAACGAATGTTAGCCGCTCCGGCTAGCCATTAGCGTGTTAGCTCGCTCTCATCATCTTCAGGATTCTGACAGGTAATCTGATCTTCACCATGGATATCGACTCTAAGTGTCCTCGTAATTTCTAACATCTGGTTGAAGTTGTAGCGTTGTAAGGTTCAGTGGCTAGGCCGAGCCGTGATCTTGCTACCAAGTTGAAGAAGCAGATGCTTTCGGGGTTCGGAGCTTTCTGGGTTTTGCTGTGTTGCTAGTAGTTTAAACTGTTATTTACGGGATCATAGCCGTGCGATCGCGTTTACTAGGCTCTAACAAACAGCAAAGCATCGCGAGGTTCTAGACTGAATGTGTCACAGGTTGGTTAGAAACAAATGAGTTATTAGCAGAGAGAAGTTAAGATATCTGCGTGCCACGAACGTAACTCTGTGTGTGAGATGGTCTTCCCTACTTTCATGTCTTTATTTAGTAATTTCCTCTTTACAGAAAGACCTGACTGGTTTATACAATGGAACTACCAACATATTCTGTATTACAAACTTTTTGCGTAAATGATTTTAGAATGAGATCTCTTGGCCAATGTAAGCATGCTACTGGGTCGCTTTCATCTACTAGCAACGATATTAAATATGTATCTTTAGCCAAAAGTCAAGTTCTTCCAGCTGGAAAAGAGGAAAGGGGTATCTCATAGAGCAGTCCTCACATTTGATTATCCTGCTCTGGGAAATACCCCACAGGAATAAGTAATGTCTTTCTCACAGAATGCCACAGGGATTAATTCCTATAATAATCAGTGAAACTATAACAATATTTGTATACAGAAACACAATCAATCTGTCAATTCAATTCTTCTTTCAAGCTGGAAATAGATTGGAAAAGTTATAGAAATGTATATATTCACTAAAAACATTAGTTATGTATACATTCGCTACAAAAATCTATATACTGCATATTTGAATGACCGTGGTGAAAGACATACCTCTGCTTTTGTTTTGCATTTGTAGTGAGATTGGCAGCACTGTAGAGTTAAAAACCAGAGACATCTCTATGGAGTTACTTTTCTGCCAGAATTTTCAAATAAAATAATAAAATCCACAAGCAAAATGTTAAGTATGCAAAAATCCAAAATATAGTGCAAATACAAATAATGAGAGTTAAATTAAACTTTTCTATTTTTAAACAAAACTTTTAAACTTTTTTGCTACTCCTTTTCACTAATATTAAATACATTTATCTCTAATTTTAGCAGTCTTTGCTTCATTTTTTTCTGTCTGAAACAAAAATATTAGCAAAATCAGTAAATAGAAAAAATGAAAGCAAAGACCGGCAAAGTAGGTAATACAATAATATTGAAATTTTGCTTGTGTATTTTATGTTATTATAAACGATTATAAACAAACGAAGCACAAAAGTAACTCCAAAAACACCTGCTGCTAATTTAATTTATATTTTTTTGTCATCTTTGATGTGTATATCATGAGTATTTGAGGATTAAAGGCTCTGCTGCCTAATAATGGGGTGTGCTTTATGTGGAGAACTCACTGATGTGAGTGACATATTCAGTGCATCATGGATTTCAAGATGTTGCAGCAACCCTACCCTGAATCACCTACCTTGCCATGCTTGCAGTTGTTTTGGTTAAGTTGCATGGGGCATCATGTTTAAATTTATTTTGTATCATGACTCTTTAGTGTAGTTTTTACCCTAGTTGAATTACACTTAACCGACACAAAAAGGTGGATATGTCTGCCATTTAATCTGCATTTCTCTGTTAATCACATGATATTGTGCTTTTGTTGTAGCTGTTTGACATGTAATCTGACAAAGTAGAAAATTTGTAGATCTTTAATTAGTCTGTCTCACAAACTACATTTTTGAACAAGAAAACACATGAATGAAAATAAGTCACAGTCATTTTTTTATCATTACTTCGATCAGTAATAACCACTTGAGGATTTGAACTAGCCTCTTAGTGAGCTTGCATTCTCACTTGGGGGAAAAAAAGCACAGTGTATCCAGCAAAATAGAAACCTTTGTGCATCTTTTACACAGTGATAGAAACACAAAGTACACATTTTCTCACTGATATATTTCACTCTAGCATGGACAGGGCACGTGGCATAACTCCTCTGGTGGCAGATTTAAACAAATTTGAAGGGTTATTGCCAAATTTTCAGACTAGTGAGACACTCCATTCAATAAGGTTAATAAAATCCTTTGGGGGGAAAAAAAAATGCACAGTTGCCACACTTTTATGGTGAAGCATAACTAGTAAACTAACTAGTAGATCAACTTTGGTGTAAGCTCTGTTTTAACCTGCATATAAACACAGTCACGAAAGTAACTTTTTATCATTTAAGAAATATTGCTAAAACTAGACATTTTCTGTCTCAGAATGATGTAGAGAAACTTGTTAATTCATTTGTTACAAGCAGAATTGATTACTGTAATGTCTTCTTACTGGGCTTATTAAGAAAATAATACATCCTCTACAACTCAGCATGGATCGTAACAAAAGCAAAGTAGAGCAGTTATCAGTCACGTATTAAAAGAACTACACTGATTGTCTTGTCTTTTTTCTTTATTGTTATTATTATTAATAGTAGTAGTAGTAGTAGTGTATGGATAATGTCAAAGTTTGAGCTTTTTTGAATGTGAAATTACGCTGGTGATGCAGTTTTTTTCCCCCTTAGATCTGCTAGACACAAACACCCACCAACATGTTTCGGTTGGAGTAGCTTTGTGGTTAATAATATAAAACATAAAATTTAATAATGATGATTAATAAAAGTAATGTATAATAATTTTAGTGGCTGATGTTTTCGTTATTGGAATTTTAGCCCCTAAAAATTTGTATTGGACACACATTTTTCACATCAGTCAGGCCCTAGGTTGAAGCAGACCTATTTTGCATGGTTGAAAGAACAAGATTGAAAGCTAAGAGATGTAAAACTGCAAACCTTTCTACGCAATGTTTTACTCATGACATGAGAAGCACAAGTCTCATATTCTCTCAAATTCTGTATCATAGATTAGGTATTGCCCAGGGACAGTTACAGAATAGGGGTATTAGTTTATGAATTGTGTCTACAGTCACAGGCAACATAAGGCCGATATTTACAGATGAGATGCTACAAGATGTAGTTTGTTTTTGCGGGTAACATGTTGTGTAAAAAAGTGTTTATTAATTTATTAATGAAATAAATAATAATGTTGTATGTGTCTCTCTTAAAAGATGGATCAGCAGTCCCAGTCCTATATGTTTGCCAGTCTGACACGACCCCATTCAGAGCAGCTGCTGCAAGGCCTACAGCTGTTGCGGCAAGACCATGAGCTGTGCGACATTGTGCTGCGAGTGGGAGATGTCAAGATCCATGCCCACAAAGTGGTCCTGGCCAGCATCAGCCCATACTTCAAGGCTATGTTCACTGGCAATCTTTCTGAGAAGGAGACTTCAGAGGTTGAGTTCCAGTGCATTGATGAATCTGCGCTACAGGTGACAGAGTTTGGTTCTGTCCACTATTTTCAGTTTGCAAAAAACAGGTTAATACCTGGTTAAAGCTGTCTTAATCAGTCATTACCCAGATATACATATTAAACTAGCCCTAATTTTCAAAATAACTTGATGACAAGCTATGTTATTTCAATTTTTCATAGTTCAGCAGTTTTCTGTATCTTTTTCAGGCCATTGTGGAATATGCCTACACAGGAACAGTTTTTATTTCACAGGAAACAGTGGAATCTCTTCTTCCAGCTGCCAACCTCCTCCAGGTCAAACTGGTGTTGAAAGAGTGCTGCAGCTTCTTGGAGAGTCAGCTGGATGCTGGGAACTGTATTGGCATTTCCCGTTTTGCAGAAATGTATGGCTGCCACGATCTCTGTCTGGCAGCCACTAAATTCATCTGTCAAAACTTTGAGGAGGTCTGTCAGACAGAGGAGTTTTTCGAGCTGACTAGGGAAGAGCTGGACGAGATAGTTTCCAATGACTGCTTAAAGGTGGTCACAGAAGAGACGGTCTTCTATGCCCTGGAGTCATGGATTAAATATGATCTGACAGAGAGGCAGCAGTACCTGGCTCAGCTCCTCCACTGTGTGCGACTACCGTTGCTCAGTGTTAAATTTCTGACCCGCCTCTATGAGGCTAACCACCTTGTCCGTGATGACCATGCCTGCAAGCACCTTCTCAATGAGGCCCTCAAATACCACTTCATGCCTGAGCACCGGCTTTCGTACCAGACAGTGCTGTCTACAAGACCACGCTGTGCCCCCAAGGTCCTTCTTGCGGTGGGAGGCAAAGCTGGGCTCTTCGCCACTTTGGAAAGGTAACAGTGGAGCCATTGCGTTTCATATATATGTATGTGTGTGTGTGTGTGTATGTGTGTATATAAAGTGTGCTTTATGTGTTAGTCCAATGTTGAGTTAGACCTTCAGGCAGGAGGTCCATCCAAACATGTGGCATATTTAGCATATTGCATATAGCTAGATTTTTGTCGTGTGTGTGTGTGTGTACATATATATATATATATATATATATATATATATATATATATATATATATATATATATATATATATATATATATATAATATCAGATATGTGTGTGTGTGTGTGTGTATATATATATATATATATATATATATATATATTTATATATTAATCGTAAACAATGAATGCTTGCTTTGTGTAAATTGTAATAATAATAATAATATGTAGTAAAGTTAAAGTAAATGTAGTAAAGTTAACACGATTATCTAATTAATACAGTAACTATTAAATTAATTAGAAAATTCGACATTTCAAATGTTTCTGTTTTCCTAAAACTTGTCTTTTGCCATGGCCAGGCATGGAAAGATTACTGAAAATCTCTACTTGGGGGAAAAAAACTGTAGTGATCATTTTCTGGAGTACAGTTAATTAATGAAAGCAGTAGTTGCCTAACATATTACATGAGAAAAATATGTGAAGTCCTGAGACTGATTACAATATGCTCTGCTAGTGCACTTTCAAGCATCTTTTTGAGTAGACAGAGAGAGAGAGAGAGCACACAGGCTGTGATGCAGTGATGAACTGAAAAAACAAAAAGTCTCTTATAATCTTAAGATGTATCATCTGCGAGGTGAGATCAAGTGGCAAATATATTTTTGCTAATTCATATAAGTAAGTTACATTCCAGATGCGGCATCTTTAGGGTTTTTTTCTACAATCAGATTTAGGTATGGATAACGTTAGGATTTGATCAATACTAATATTGATACTGCTTAACGATACCGATTCTTAGTGATACTCTTACTGATTGCCTTCTGTAATTCAGTGCAAAAAAATAAAGGCATGGCATGGAAAGATGTGAAAAAACTCAAGATGTGAAAAGGCTATGTTCACTACAGTTGAAAATATTAACAACCATAAGCAATACAAAGTCAGATACCCTGTTTGTCACAACAGCTCACACTCAAGTTTAAAGTTGCGCTGCCCAGCAGTGAGCAATTTATGCTAGCTACTGACTTTTCATTCAGTACAGACTAAGCTTAATATTACTACTCCCCATCCCAAAAAAAGCTGATTTTAGCTGTCAAAATATCCTATTTTTTTTACTGCTGGAAACATTTTCTGGTAAGGACCTTTAGACTATTAAACTATGAATTTAAGGTGTAAGCTGTAAATTTAAGGTAGTAAATTTAAGGTGGCATTGAAATTAACGTGACAGTAAATTTATGGTGCCCCTTGTTTTAAACTAACCTTTATGGTCTGAACATGACAAACACTCATCAAACAGTGGAACATTTTACAAATCTGTCATGGGAGAGTGGGAGAAAGTGTCTGATTAGCTGTTTTTACCAGCTGGAAAAGCACGGCTATTTTTGTAGTAGGCATAATTTAAGAAAGAAAACAGATTATTTTTAGCTGATGACGAGCGCTCGGCTACCCCATTACAAATGACATCACAGTATTTAGACACCAGCTAGCGACGACTGGATTTCTCTATTCAATTGTAATAGTTTATATCAACACCAGACAAACAGAGTCCTCCTTTTAGGTACGTTTAAACTGAAAGCGGTGCTTTTGTGTCTTGTCTGATCTACAGTATCATCAATTCTCCGTTTTTGTGGAGTGACGAAGCGCTGCTTCAAGTTAGCCAGCTGCTAAAAACAGCTAGCCTGGAAAGATAGCTTAGTGCTCTCCCGCTCTCCAATGCCTCACAGCTTCCTCAGTTTGCTTTCGTTTAAATCGGGACTGTAACTCACATGAACTCACTTCTTTCTTTCACTTTCATTGCTTGGAAATGCACTAAACTTAAATATGACTGTCCGAGCACTGTAACAGCGCTGTAGTTGTGAGGATTGTGATTTAACGCTGCTAAAGCTGGTTAGGATGTAACTTACAGAAAGAGGTGAGTTCACTGTAGGACAGTACAGTTACACCACTGACCTCATCACTCACACTCGGTCACAGGAGAGCAGATCGCCGGTCGCTCCACTCAAACAGGGAATGTGTAACTCCGTGTTTCAGCCGTTGCTAAAGACTCATCTTACTTGTGGCCCCCTCCCTCTCTAAATCATGTTGAAAAACTCGGAAGTGCGCCCTCTCCTGGCGACAGCAGAGTAGTGTCGCTTTCCTTGCAGCAGAAAACGCCACCAAGGCTTTCGCTAGAATGCAGAAGTGTAAGAATGGAGTATTATATCGAACATTTATCGAACATGTCGTATCGCTCTATCGAGGAAAAGTTATATCGCAATAATTATCGTTATATCGCCCAGCCCTAATATATATATATATATATATATATATATATATATATATATATATATATGAGAGTGGCATTGTATTTGAGGTATCAGTAAATTTAAAGTGCCATTGTATTTATAAGGTGGCAGTTTAAGGTAACACCTAGCAACACCTCCAACACATTTTAACATTTTATAATGTAATTAGCTGGCTTTATCAAGGCAACTTAGTTTGTTCACAAACCAGGAACAAAGTCTCAAAAGAGGAACTCATCCTCCTCTGGTCAACATGGTAGCAAAACAATAACATGAGCAATATAAACAGAGAATAAAGTTTTACCATTACTATAAACTATTAAATTATAGAAAAGGGGAAAAGCAGTTGAATCATTAAATGGTTCACATCTCTGCATGCAGAAGTATCATCAGGCGGATCAATAGCATGAAGGTGAGGTTTGCACAGCATTGTACAGCAGGAAGCTCCATGGTAGTCAAACTGGTCCAGAAGGCAGTAGGCACCCGAACAATGCAGATGAAGCAACAGCATCGGACCACACAGGATGGACAGTTGTTCAGCTCAAAGAAACACAGAGTTAGTTCTGTTAAGAGAAACAGATAACCGTATACAGTTTGTATACAGAGTCCAGCACAGACTCCACCAGGTCTAGCTATTATAGCCTAACTAAAAGGGAGAGCCAGAAGATAACAGAGACATGAGGGCACGCTGAGATGTCAGCAACCCTCCACTCCATCAGCAAACTTGAGTGAACGTATGAGAGCAGCAGGATGACAGTGCCAGCACTCCAAGTTTACCATAATACTCCGTCCATGAACCCCCAGATTTGCATTTTTTATCTAATGAGAAAAAGTAATTACCAAAGGCTTGACTAAACACTTTTAGCCTAGACTTAAAGACTGAGGGTGTGTCCCAAACACTGACTGTAAGATTACTCCTAAGCTGTGGGGCTTTATATGAAAAAGCTCCAGCCCCTGATGTAACTTTATTAATTCTAGGTACTAATTATAGGTAGGCATAATGGTTCATAATAAGAGAAGTTCACTCAGGTACTCAGGGTCAAGGCCATTTAGAGCTTTATATGTCAGTAAAAGCATTTTACTGTTCTTGTGAGGACTCTGGCTGCAGCGTTCTGGACTAACTGAAGCTTGTTAAGGCTTTTGCTGGAACATCTGGACAGCAGGGCATAACAGTAATCCAGCCCTAAGATCCTCTAGAGACTCTAATTTGGCAATAATGCACAGATGGAGAAAAAGCTATCGTAGTAACATGGTTACATGTGTTTCGAAGGACAGACTGGGATCGATCGTGACACCAGGGTTTTTTTTTTTTTATAGATGTGTAATGTCCCATAGATTTTATGTGTTTTGTACTTTACACTTGTAAATTGGCACCACCTACTGGCAATGTTCTATATGTGGCCTAAGTAATGTGACTTGTCCTTGGTTGATGATGTCATCAGTGTGAGCCTGGTTCATGCAGTTATCAGTGGAAGCATGGCTTCCCTCTGTTTCATCTTTAACCATTTGCATTTTGGCTTTGTTGGTGTGTAAAAAGTTTCTTCCACTGTTTATTTCTCTCTGTTGATAAGCATTCATGAATTTGTGTAGATTTAAAAGTGGATTTAGTAGATTGATTTGTTAATTCCTCTTGTGCCTACTATGCATATCCAAAATTCTCCCTTGCTAATCCATTTCACTGATACCATTAAAATTTTTCTATTGATGTTATCATGTACAATGCTTGTATTTGATATCTACTCAGCTGAGTCAGCTGAGGCCTCACTGGATATATTACGCCTTAAGAGAAAAGCAGCAGCTGCTTTAGCTAAAGCAGAAGCCTTAGAAGCTGCAGCTGAGCAAGAAAACGAGGATGTCCTCAGCAAAGTCCACCTATTGTCTGATGCTCAAAGAACAATAGGTGGACTGATGTACAAAGGAATATGTACATGGACATACTGCACACGAAAGTAGCATAACCATGCCTGTGCTTGAGGGTCCTTTCTTTCATAGTGTTCATCTTGCTGGTTCAGTGCCCCAGTACAAACCCACAATTACCATTCAGCACCAAACTGATGAACAAGGTAATGAGTATGAAGAGAGTAGCAGTCTCCAGCAGGATCCAAAACCTCTCACAAGAACACTAGGCCCAGATGTCAAGAAGACATTTCCAAGTATGTGTCAAGACACAAATGGACACATCTTTCCCCAGGTTAGACACAAGGATGTCCATTCACCCAAATTACCACAAACAACATCCCTAACAATGCCATTTGGAGTCCATTTGGTGTCTACAACAATGGCAGCACTCACAGACAGATGACTAGTGATCCACAAAATTATTACAACACTGCTCAGGGGTATACGGGTCATACCAACTTCACTCAGGGGAGAGTGTCAGACTTTGTGAGATTCATTGCTAGACGTGAGCTTGTTTCTACTGGGCTTATGCAGTTCAATGATCGTCCAGAGAATTATAGAGCATGGAGAGGTATTGATAAATGCTATCAGAGATCTTAATCTCTCAGCTAGTGAAGAGATGGATTTGCTTGTGAAATGGCTAGGCAGTGAGTCAGCAGATCACG